TGGGGAATTCTGGGAGTTGAAGTCCACGCATCTTCAAGTTACCAATGTTGAGAAGCATTGCTCTAAATACTTATTTGCCTTGCTGCCTAATGGAAGCCATTCTTGCTTGAATGTGGTTAAATGTTTGTTATGAATGTATGCTGTTAGTTTTGTTGTTGGTTTCAATTACTGAGCTAAGCCTCGGACCACCATACGTTTGGAGGTGTCATAAACAGTTTTAGCTCCACATCTACTTTTCCTTATCCTTCAGCAGAAGACAGGAAGCTCAGACAGATAATATGGCCATGTCCATTTTTTTCTGGGCTTTAAATCTAACAGAGTTAAGGAAATTAAGGTTAAGGATAGAGAATATCCTAGTGCCTTGCACAAGCTGAGACTGAGTTCACACAATGCATTAAGCAGGAAGCACATCCTATTAGAGCTTAGCATAATATAGGAATCCAGTCTCACACCTCTTGTTCCCCTGACCTAGGAAGAACAGGTTTTTTTGTTCTGTTTTTGGGTCTCCATCCCATGATTAGTTAGTATTTTGAAGGTAATTTGGGATATGGTGATATCATTGTTTGGATATTCAAGGATTTCAAGGGGAGAAATGGGTATATCTGCACTGCAGAGACAGGATAGTATTCAACCACAGTGCAAACATGCCCTTACAAACCTGTTTATCTATCCTCCTCCTCATTTTCAGCCCATGAGTGAGACTAAATAGTCCTTAGTCTTTCTGATGTTTTTGTGATTAAGCTGGCACAATCCATGTCAGTAAAATCTGGATTTTGTTTCTGCCAATGGTGCAGTCAGATGACCTCCTGAAGTTGGGACAGCCTGATACCTTTCAGCATGTTCTGGTTAGCATCTCCTCTCTTGGAGTTCTGGGTACTTTCCTCTTCTGCCACTTTTTTTTCTCTCTCCAGCATGGCACAGCTGTCAGCTGCTGTTCTTTGAATGGATACCAACAGCTCACCAGTGCTCTAAAATCTGAGTATTGAGAAAGCTAGTTCTCCTGCTTTACAATACTACTCTCCCAGCTTGTGTTGATGGAAGGCTTAATGCTCTTTCAAAACTCGAGTTTTAAATTAGAAAAAATTATGTCATTGAAAATTGGCTATTTTACCTCTGCATTTTGCTAGTATGATTTGGAGGTCCTCTGAAGGCTACAAAATAAGAGTGGGGGAGGCTCCCTATTATGTATCCCTTTCTGCTGTAGGCTGTTCTGTAGAGCTTTAAAAAGTTCTGCATATAATCATGTCATTACTATTAACTGGACATCATCCAGATGTGCAGACCAACTCCCAGAATTATCACCAATGGCCATGTTGATTAGGGAATTCTGAGAATGTAAGATCTGAAGAGGATCCTGGTTGGAGAAAGCTGAGCTTGGAATCAGTGGGTAGGACCAAGATGAAACTTAGTAGAGCAAGTTGTAGAATCTCAATTTGATTGGCTTTTAGACCCAATACTGCTTCAGACTGTAAAAAATACTGGTTAGTTGTCCATCTTTATGGATAGTGGCCTGCTATTAATTCAAAATGAGGCATTCTAACACAAAACAAACATATGTAGAGAGCCAGAGTTTTATTTTTGTCAGGCCTCAAATTAGCAATGGAAGTCAGGCTGATGAAGGTTTTTTAAGAGTTTGAGCAATGTGCTATTTTATTATTTTGACTAAACAGTCACATTAAAGCTTTGGCAATTGCCCAAAGCATGAAAATGATGGCTTGGATGACCTGTGGACTGAACTGGATATGGCTGCCTCTAACAATGCACTCTGGAGTGCCAAACGTGCATGCATATTTAGATATATTAAATATTTTGGCTGGGTTCATGTATCATTCTAAACTTCTTTGGCTGAGTATGACATGTGAACCCAGCCATCATTGTAAGTAATGATTTATGGTTTAATGTCATGAACAATTCAGGCTATGGCTCCAACAAAACTACCCATCATTTAGCATGCTGTGTGATGTTAGCCATATGGCGATGATTCATGTTGCACTCCTGGCTAGAAATTGCCAAAACTCTAGTTGGAAATAATGGTGGATACTTTCTACTACAGGTAGTCCCCGGGTTAAGAACGCCTGGTTTAAGGACAAACCATACTTAAAAACAGAGCCTATTGTAGCAAAATTTGAGTTAAACACACAATAATTCAAGTTAAATACACAATGGTTCGAGTTTATTACCCAATACTACTTACACAGTATTATACAATAATACTGTTCTGGCATACATACAAATTCAACTTAAAGTGCAGACCTTTTTAATGGAATTCGTTCTTAAACTGGGGGACTACCTGTATAGAGTTCAAGACCCAAGAAAGATTCTTATAGAGCAATTTTAATTTCAAACTGGGTCCAGATTTAATCATAGCTCAAGCACATTTCCTGAAAATATTGCTTTTAGTGGGCTTACTCACAAGAATGTTAAGCCTGAGTAATTAAATGAGTCACTTCACTTGAAAGGAACAATGGAAATATTTTAAATATATTCATGGGGTAAGCCTTAACAAATAGAAATTCTTTTGTAATCTCAATTTCAAAAAAAGTGGTATTTAAATACCTTACCTCACCACCTTACCAGGTTAAAGCAGGCCTTCCCAATCTGGTCATGTATATTGCCCATACAATACTTAAAATGCTCACATTAACTACTTGCTCTATACCAGTGTTTCTCAACCTTAGCAACTTTAAGGCGTGTGAACTTCAACTCTCAGAATTCCCCAGCCAGCATGGTCAGCTGGGGAATTCTGGTAGTTGAATTCCACATCTTAAAGTTGTCAAGGTTGAGAAACACTGCTTTATACTAATTCCTGCAGTCATATTGGTGCCAGGTCTCTGCAAATTCCCAAAGGGCTCTTATTTTAACAAAAGGTGAACAAGCCACTCTTTCAAAGCTGCTTCATAAAGCAACATGCCTCCCTCCCACTTCTAAAACTGAAACAATTGTTTTGATCTGCTCACTCCTGAGGCCTTCTTCAGCAGTTCCAAGAAGTGTAAGAAGCTTCTTCAGATGGCACTGAAAGCCAGAAAAAGTGATGCAAAGCAAATGAACCATTACTGTGTCTGTGGCACAAAACCTGTAATCAAAGCAATTTGTGGCAACCTCATCATAGTATCTATATGCATTCATATAACCTTTACACAGCAAATTCTACACTGTGGAACTGATCATTCAATCTAGTTTGGGAGTAAACTATTGAACACCAATTTCGGATTTTCAAAAACAACATTGAAGAAAGTTGATCCATGCAGTACTATATCGTTGAAGTGCTATGATGGTACAACAGATTGTACAATTTGGCAAATAGGATGGATTTTTTCCTTAATGCTCCTTTACAGTTTGAAAATTTATCAGTATAAACAAGGAAGCTTTCTCCCCAGTTAGTTTAAAAATGTACAGGATTTTTTTAACATAAGGAACAAATTAGTAATTGAGCAGTCCATTCTATAAAATTAATTCTATTTGTAAGCGGATTAGCAGAAAAAAAGGAAGTTGAAGTTGAGGTTGCAACTAGGCATTCTGAAGGACCCTGGTGTGGCGCAGTGGTTTGGTGAAGATCCTCAAGATTAGTCATGGGAAGATGTAGATGCTACCCCTAAAGATTATCCCAAGACAATCTGCAAACCAATTCAGAAAACTGGATCCAGAACAGTCATGTTGAGACAAAATACTCACTGCACTTAGGGGAAAAGAGTATTACTAGCATGTTGGGGGTTAGAAGACACCAAACCTCATGTTACATTTCCATCCAGGATATAGAGAATTTCAGTCCATTTAATTTATACTTTTGGTGTGCAAATCTTCCATGCCAAGCTGTGTAGCCCTGTGACTACAAAGTGACTTTAAAATACAGTTTTGTACTTTGTGATAATTTGAATATTTTTAAAAAATTGAATGTCACTTTGGAAACTTGCTGAGAAAAGAATTTACATTCCAGGTGGCCACACTCAGAAAGGCTAAATTTAAATACCTCCCAAGCATAGTTTTTCTTTCTCATTCCAAGACCCTTTACTGAATAGCAACACATCTGGAAATTCACATCTTTAAAGGTCTCTGACAATATATACACACTTGAAATAAAGCGGGCATATGGCTATGCCTCACAGATGTTGAGACAGATTCAACATGTGACTTATGAGTCAGATGCGCTCCACAAGGAGCCCAACATGTAATTTCAAAGCACCTGACAGACTGTAATTCACAGCTAACTGGCTTCAGAATTTGGAGGATTTTAGAGGACATGCAAAATCCTCTCCACGATTACCTGAAATGCATACCTATTTCACTAGGAACAAGTACATTCAGGCTAAAGGCCGCACTTCTGAAAGTGAGGGCAAAACATTAACATTTGAAATTATATACAAGCGGTATTTATCTGTATATTTAATCATCTTCCCCTTCTACTGTCTCACAAATTGCAATTTGGTGGCAGATTGTAGAGGGACTATAGAAGCATCTCCCCTGGTTCCAAGGGCTTCAAACTTTCTACCCAAGCTGTACTCTCTGATTTACAGATAAATCACACAGTAAGGTCCACAAATGGCATGCTTCAAAATACGTTCTATTAATTCTAAAGCCTCTCAGAGACACCATGTACCCTCCCCACAAATGTAAGAACAATCTGTTCACCTTTTAAGTACACTAGTTTGATGTGGTAATTAAGACACAGAATTTATGAAACTGTAATAGCACTCATTAATCAGAATTCCTCTTGAAGCAGGTACAGGGTGTTCTCCCCCTTCCCCAAACACACAGTGAACGAACACAGGTCGATGCGTATCAAAGCTCAGGCAAAAAATTAAAAACAGAAGTTTGCTTCAGCACAGGTCTTCACCATTTTCAGAATTAAGCATTGAATGGTAAGAGGAAAAAAAAAGTAAGACACAAGTTTTTGGTTTCCACTACTAACTCAGTGTACTTTATTTGCCTGCAGCCTACAGCTGAATAGCCAACACTGGACAGAGTTCAGTAGCACTGAGGAATGATTAGATCTTCCCTTCACGCACCCCTTTCCCCAGTTCAGGAATGGCTTTCGTTTTGTGGGCATCTTTCAAAGAAAACCCTATCCCAAAGAAAAAAAGGCATTAAGAAAAAGGTGGACCCAGGTTCATAAAAGCCCATCTTTCAGACTCATGCTGGAACTTCCTGCTTAGCCACCTGGTCTTGTCTTTTGTTTTTGTTTTGTACACTGGTTCAAGAAATCGGCACTTGGGGCTACAATTCTGAACCTGGCACTGAAAGGCACACATCAGATACCCTGTATAAGAAACTGGCATGCTTGCTTTCCAATGAGGATGGGTAACCAAAGAGAATCCCAAGATGAGCCTGAGAAAGTACAGAGACAGAAAAGGGAGGTGAGGGTTTTTTTTAAATTTTCATTTAATGCTTCTTGAAAGGATTAGATTCCCTATTTTACAAGGCAAGCATGAAAAGCACCCATCTTTTAAAAGCCCCTAAGCATCAATAGCTGCATAGTTAGAAGCTGGTGTGTCTCATTCCCTCTGCTTTTAGGAATCCTTAATATCTAGAAAACAGTTGTCTCTGCCCATTTGCTATAATGCAACAGAAGAATTTTTAAATATATGAAACTATAGGTTTTTTAACAGATATAGTATATGTAGCATACAGCTGCCCAATTGTTTTTGAAAAAAAAAAGAGGATTTCCTGTTTACTGGAAAGAGTAATAGAAAAAATAGTAGTACTGGGGGGAATGTTTGACACCATTTTATTAATCTTCAACTGCAGTGGAAAAATATAACCTTTTACAAGTGCCATCCTGTGTAAGCTCAAGTCAGTATATATATATATTTATATAAATTTTCCTTTTTTGAAGTGCAGCAAGACTAACACCATATCAGAACCAAATAAAGAGAACGAATAGGCCAAGCAGTTTCCAAATTGTACTTTTATCTTTTATCTTTTTTTTGCTTTGTTTGAACATTGAATTTCAACCTCATTTTTGCAATCCAAAATATTTCCTGAAAGGTTTTCTTGTTTGTTTAGACTTTTTAAAAATTCTTTGGCACAATTGTGTGTGGTTCGGGCTACTTTGTTCACACCAAAAGGGGCTTTGTCCCTTTTGATTGATTTTATTGTCACCAATTCAAAGCAAAGTTGTGTTTTGTTTCAAAGCCTCACATCCCATTTGGAAAAACTGGATCCTAATCTCTTCGCTAACACGTGAGAGTCTTCTGGACACCCTACCCGCCTCCCACCCCACCCCACCCTGGGTTTCTACATTCACAGTTGAACAAAATTCAGGAAGGAAAGGCGCTTTTTAATGAAACAAGATTGTGAAAAAAGTGTCACGACGGGAGCTTTGAACATCCCACCTGCGATTCCCTAAAGAAGCCCTACGCGGGGCAACTTCTGTTCCCCCCTCCCCCCTTCAAATCTCTTACTTTTCTGCCACTTCAAGTAGACTGAACTTGTTAGTTTATGAAATGCAACTGCTAATCTCTTCAGTGTTTCTTTTGGGAAAGATTAACTGCAATTGAGAATGTAGATACTGCCTCATTCACACACACTCACTCTTGAAAGAAAATCCTTCACCCTTCCCATTTTTCTTGTGCACTGACAGCGTTGTGCAGCCAAAAACTCCCCTCCCTCCCAAAAAAGGTGACTGAGGTGGGCTGGGGACCCCACCTTCTCCTCTCTAGCAACGAAAGCCAGACCTTATTATATGAGTACTCAAATTGAACCTGAAGCTAGCTTTTCTCTCTCCCAGACTAATTAATCTTCCTCTTCACTGGCCAAAAGACACAGAATTAGTCCTTGTCTCTTGTCAGAAGAGACTGCACTGAAGTATAGAACTCAATCGTTTTCTACTTCCTGGAGGCAAGCGATGACAAGGTTTTGTTGCTACGCAAGTCAGTGATTAGCTCCATTAACAGCGGTTCTGCCATTTGCCGTGGCTGGATTTTCACCGTGGTGTGTTTAAGCCTCTCACTCACTCATCCTCTCATTCCCAAACACTCAGCATCCGTGCACACTCCTCACTTCGGGTTGGGTTTTTTTTCCTCGATAGATTGGAGAATTCCAGTGGGGGTCTCAGGTGTCATCCCAATGGTAATAGATCTGTAAGTGAAGGAAAATAAGGAAACAATGCAGTGTAATATAAAAAGAGACACTTGCAATTTCTTCAGTAGCAATAAGATTGTTTCTGCATAAGATTTCTGACATTTTTTAAAGCAGAACTTGGAAAAATAAGAAGAAAGGAATTTTTGAATAGGAGGACATTGAAGGCAAAGGCCATGGGAATGATAATCCAAATGCTACTTCCGCCATCATTTTAAAGCTTACTCACTGAGGAATTAACATATCTGGGCCTTACATTAGTTCTCTGAACCTAATGCAAACTGTATAGGAACAACTCAGCTGTTTTAAGGAACAAAAAAGTAGGAGCCTTCTCACCAAGCTTGATTCTTCAGTTTTCTCAACTCTTTAGTGGCCCAGGTAGCAAGGGTTTTTGTTTTGTTCGTCTTTGATCTCCTTCCTTCAGTTAGCAGTTCATGTATCATGGGCCTAGCTTCTACCAACTTGAGGACATCTTTTCCAAATGCTGTGCACAAATCCCTGTGAAAAACGAAGAATATAAAGAGAAATCTTCCAGTACTTAACCCCAACCATTACTGTGGGTAGTTCAGTGTTTCTTGTCTCTTAGAAAGTATACAAACAAAAGCAGATTCAATTGGACTTGCTGTATTTTTAGAGTCTTCCAGTTTGGATTTTAATACAGAAGTTTCTGATTTAGTTCTTTTACAGATCTACAACAAGATCCTCTGCCTATATAGGATCTTTTCTCTTTGATTGAACACCTGCAATTATAATTCAGAATAATTATGAGCAGAGCCTTCCTGTGGTGGTTCAAAGACAATGAAATGAATTCTCTGTTGAAGATGTCCAAATGTACTAAAAGGAAAAGCCCCCATAAATATGCTTCTGTAGAATAAGGGTGCTCTTGCTGCAATTCTACATGAAGCCACTGAACGAGGTCATCTAATGGCACAGGATAAGCTATCGCCAATATGCTGATGATACTCAGCTCTTCATCTCTGCCCTGAGCCCACCAACTGATGCTGCCTGGTTACTTAAGGGACCGCCTGTCTCCCATCAAATCTGTCCAGCCAATTGGATGCTGCAGAGTTGGCGCATTCCAGATTCCTTTGATTAAACAATGTCATCTATTGGGACCCTGGAAGCATGCCTTCTCTGTAGCAGCGCCTGCCCTCTGCAATGAGATTCCCCCAAGAAGTGGATGGCACCCATTTTGCTGTTGCTCTTCACCCAGGCCTTGGCAAGGAAGAATGGGACCCCTCACTTCATTGTGCTTGCCATCTTTTATCTTTATGTTTTATTGATTTGATTGCAATTTCTGTTGTGAGCTGCCTAGTGGTATACAGTGTATTCTACCCAGTGTACAGTCGGGTAGTATACAAGTTTAATATTGTATTATTGTTGGTCACACTTATCATCATCATTCTGTTGTGAGCTGCCTAGTGGTATACAGTGTATTCTACCCAGTGTACAGTCGGGTAGTATACAAGTTTAATATTGTATTATTGTTGGTCACACTTATCATCATCATTCTGTTGTGAGCTGCCTAGTGGTATACAGTGTATTCTACCCAGTGTACAGTCGGGTAGTATACAAGTTTAATATTGTATTATTGTTGGTCACACTTATCATCATCATCATCATCATCATCTTGAGGCTGTGGGTGTCTGGATGAGGAAGAACAGGCTTCAGCTCAACCCTGGCAAGACTGAATAGCTATGGGTTTTAAGCCCCCGGAATCCAGTCCTTTCCAACTTTGGTTCTGGATGGGGCTGCAGTACCCCAAAGAGAATCAGCGTGCAATCTGGGAGTCCTCCTAGATTCATAGCTCCTGTTTGAAGAGCAGGTAGCAACTGTAACCAGGAGACCTTTTGCACAACTTATTTTATTGGCACTAGTTATACCTCTTCCTGGACTGGGAGGCATTGCTCAGTCATTCCTGCTTTAGTCAACTCCTAAGTAGATTACTGCAATGCACTCTATATGGGGCTGCCTTTGAAGACCATCTGGAAGTTCCAACTGGTCCAGAATGCAGCAGTGTATGGCCATTTTACTCCTCTGCTCTGCCAGTTTAATGGTATATGAGGATGTCCTTCAGAGACTGGGGAAAGAGACACCACCAAAGGAACAGTCAGATAAGAGACACCATAGCCTACAGCTGAATAGTGGGCAGGGCAAGAGGCTCAGAAAACACCCTCCCTAGTTTCTCAGGCTGTAAAGGAGATGGGGGGAGAAATGTACTTTCAGACTTGCAAGATTCTGTCAATGTAGCCTAACAATAAAGTAGAATTAGCTCATCTGGTTGTATTTCCTATCTGGTTTGCTCCGCAAGGCCAACAGCCAGCTATATTGGCTCTAGTGTGCTTCTGGGTGGAATTCAAGGTGCTGGTTATCACCTCACGGCATGGGGGTGGATTATTAGGGACTGCCTCTCCCTGGTTGTCTATACCCATCCCACTAGGTTCGACAGGAGGGGCTCACTCCGGGTCCCCTCAATTAAATAATGTAATCTAATGGGACCTAGGAAGCATGCCTTTTCTATCATAACACCTGAACTCTGAACAACCCCACACTCCCGCGAGATTAGATTGGCTCCAGCCTTGTCAACCTTTTACAAAGCACTGAAAATCTGGATGTGCTCCAGAGCACAGGGATGGGAAGTTAAGTGACTGGGGCATTGTCATTGTTTTGCTTATTGTTTTGGATTTATTCTCAACATCCATTGTAGGTTCTATGTTTCACTGACATTGTTTTTATTGTTTTAATATGCTGTGAGCTATCCAGAGTTGCATCTGTGATATACGCAGACATATAAATGAATAAGTAAGTAAGTAAGTAAGTAAGTAAGTAAGTACAGATGGTCCTCGATTAACCACTTGTTTGGCAACCATTTAAAGTTCCGGCCATCGCAGCGCCCCCGCAGTCTCATGATCACGATTCAGGTGCTCACAACTGGCCCAGATTTCCAACTGTTGCAGTGTCCAGCAGTCACGTGATTGCGATCTGCGACCTTCCCTGCCAGCTTCCCACAAGCAAAGTCAATGGGGAAGCCAGCAGCAAATTGGAAGTCGTGATCACATGAAGCCCTTACTTAACAACCCGCAGTGATTCATTTAACAATGGTAACTAGGGACTGCTGGAACTGCCATTGCTCAGCGGTGTGGTCATGTGATATTGCACTTTACCACTGCATTGCTTAGCCATGGAAATTCCGGTCCCAATTACCGTTGTTAAGCAAGGACAAATAGAGTTCAATAGAATATTGTGGTGGACATTCAGTGGGTTATTCATGTTGCAGAACTTCCAAATATTTAATAGTGGGCCAATGTAAAACAGTTTTGGAAGCTTTATGAGGTTAAAACAAAAAGCTCTGGGTAAAGTATCTCATCTTGTCTTTATAGGAGGCAAGACTGAGATTCACTGTGGGACTTTTAAGCTACCCTTGGGTCCAAGCACAAAGTAAGTCTTCAGCATTTACCCTATCAGTCCTGCTGCACAGGCTACGACTCCATCACTATGATCTTCATCTGCAGCAATATGGTCAATGAAAGACAAGATGAATTCTACTCTAGGCTGCACCAGCATCACATCCGCTGAAAAAGAAGCATAATTTAGTTTTATAGGCTTACATTATGAGTTTTTTTCTTCCTATCAATATCAACAATTCTGGAAAGTTCACCTTAGCACTCTGTTCAGCGATAGGCCTTATCTGTATCAGAGGCAACCTACAAAGATTGTATTCTTTTCCTCTGGCATTACCTCCACACCTTCTTTGTACTTGCTAGCTTAAAACTATTTTTAAAACATTTACTATAACATCACGTTAGAAGGCTACCACCTACAAAAAACATTTAGGTTTTTTTTTCCTTTTCAGAACTGTGCATGCAAGTATATTGCAGTCTGTCATTCCTAAGCATAAAAATTATGAAAGATAACTGACCCAAGGCAAAGGATAACATGGTAATACTGTTTGCCTCACTGTTTTTCATTCTAAGAGACAAAAATGTTCATAAGAGAAGTCTGAGAAATGTTTGGATTGAAAAAGGGCTTGTTCAAAACAGTCCAATTTCATATCTAAATCTTTCAGAAGGTTTTTAGTGCTCATACAAAAACTGATACATGCCTCTACACAAGAAACACAGCAGTGTGAGAGAAAAAAGGGAAATATAACTTTGTGACTGACAACTCAAGCTTCTAATCACACTGAATGGTTTCACTAGGGCTTATTAATTATAGTACACTGGAACAGAAGGGATTCATGAACTTGTGGGACTACAGGAATAAAGCATTGGGTGCTTGCTTAGAAAACACAGTCCTTCTGCCTCTGCCATTATCTATTTCACATTCATCACTCCTTATCCTATGGCAATCCAGTCAAGTTTAGTGCCAGTTGACAGTTGAGGAAAAGAACCCTTTAATATTTTTTTAATTTGACACATATTCTAAGCTTCTAAAGCTATCCCCCTAAAATTATGTACAGTATGCTATTTTAACACACATTGAAAGGAAAGGGGAAAAAACCCACAGAAGTTAATCTCCCCAAATCTGAAAACTCTTGTTCACCCCCCAAATACCTCACTTATTCTGAAAATCTGCTGGTTTCTTAGACAGGACTCAGTACACATCAATCTATTCCTAAAATGTACATTTAAACAGGAAACATTACAACTGTTCAGGCTGGACTCAGGAAGGGGGGCTTTAAATGGAAATATAAACTGAAAGTAGCATCTGCGTATGTACCTGCTTCATTTTAAGTTTGGAAAGTTTTGTGTTTTTTTGGTAAAAATATAGATGCAAACAAAGGCCATCTGCTAACTTGACCAGGACTGTAAAAACAGGCCATTTAAGTTAATTCCACCTCCGACAACCAAAAATACCCTAAAACCTCATACAAAGAACAATAAAAAGGAGCAATAAAGAATAACCACATTCTCTAAGGCAATACGAGCCCCAATCTAAAAACAAGGCAAAGCGGCTTGCACTGACAATTTCCCATCCTTATTAACAGGAGTAAACAATGGCAGAAACTGAACCTCATGTACGGAGATTAATATTTGTGGTACTTGAGAAAATTAAAAAGAAAGGGACTCACGATGTACATTCTCTTGATCTCCTTTCAGACCCTGAATGATGCCTGTGTATGCTTCCAGGCAGGTCTCTCGCAGTTCATTCAGGTAGTCTACCATATCATAATCAGACTAAGGCCAAACATAAAAAGAAGTTAGCTTGGGATTACTGTCTTATCATGACATATACAACACAGGAATCCAAAAGATTGTTTACCTTATCAACCTGGGCTTGAGAAGCCTGCTGTAGAGTATTCAGTACAACTTCTAAGTATTTTTTAAATTCCCCTCCAATTGCAAGAGCAATGTCTCCAAATACTGACAGAATTTGTGGTTTAACTGACCGGTGCACATTTTCATTCTGTAAAGACAAACTGTTATTTTATTCACAGCAAGGATTTAGCTTTTAAAAATCACACAGTTAAGTTGGATACTTAAATTCTATCAGACATTGTCCCCAAGGTGCTCAGGACTTTCCCCATTTTATATTAACAAATTTGAAAAGTATTTTAGCAAATTTCTCATTCATTCAATGGGCCTCAATCCTCAAATACAGATAGGAGTGTACCCCCAAGTCTCAGCAACCCAGTGTTACCCATAATCATACTACCACCACATTGGCTGCTCATTAAAGATTAGCCAACTTAATCAATTTGGTGAGCAACAGATGAAAATACATTTTAAAAAATAGGTGTCATATGTAGGTATTAACTGGCATTGCAGATTACTTTTCCATATTTATAATTTTAGTGAGAAAATAATAGACACATTAAAAGATATAAATGGAAATTATGACATTTTAATACTTTTCATAATTTCATACAGAAATTAGAAGTGTACCTTCTATTTATACTGCTTGCTTCCTTTTTCCTTTGTGAGAAACAGGCCATAATATCAAATCAATGTTTACACTCTGCTAGGCTTTTTAGGTTTCTTTCAATGGTAGATGTGGAATTTCCCCTCTTTTGTTTTTAGATCATCAATTTACTCACCCCCAAATTTTCTAAAAGCAGCTGCATAACCTCATCACAAAATGGCAGAATGTTGGACTGCAAAGCCCGGCATAAGTCACCCACTAGACCCACTGCAGCCAAACAGACCTGCAAAAACAAATATACCCACCACTTTCATGAGTCACTTTTACCCCACCTCAAGCACCAATCATTATTTCCTTGTCCTATTACAAAACTAAATAAAGCCCCCAAGACAGGAAATTTCTCAATTGTGGCAACATGCTTCAAAGACACACAGTGACTTTTTTTTTTTTTTGGGTACAGCTCTTTATTTTTTGTTAGCCTCATAAACATTATTTCTTTTAGAGTTGGGAAGGGTAGCACCTGGCCTCTCCAAAAGTTGTTGTACTACAAAGTTCCATCAGCCAAGGCAACATAGGCCATCATTGAAAGATGACAATTAAAATTCTAGCCCACATTGCAGAGACCACAAATTCCTCATCCCTAAATTAGAACAATGGTTTTCTTCTTTCTTTCCATCTCAAATATTTTATATTTTTACTTAAGTGTTTAACAATTTTTTCAGAAAGTTACACTAGAATAAAGATACAACAAAGTAAAGAAAAAACAACTACTAATAAAGCATGAGTACAGTATTATGGAAAAACTTTTTAGTGATACATTCTCTCCTCTTCCATTTGTTTCCCCAACCAGTACACTGAGCCTTGAAGGTTATTTCTAGTTATCTGCTTACGTCATTTCATCTGTTATTTTTAATTGGTCTCATACCTCTTTTCTTAGAAACAGTATTCCAAATCTTTAAATATGCCTTGCTATGTATAGTATAATATGTAAGGGAGCCATTACTTATACTAAATTTGGCCAGACTTCTATTATGGTTATATACTATCAGTTTGCCATTGCTGCATATTCTCCAATTTGGTCTTCCAATCTTGTATCATTGGCAGTTTCTTTTTTCCAACTTTGTGCCAAATTTTATACCAATTTTCCCTTAAATTGCAACTTGGAGTAAATTTTATTGATTTTTTTCCCACATCTCTTCCCATTGTTGTCCTATAATTACTACTTTGAAGTTTTGCATCCACAATTCATATATACATCCTAATAGGTAATCTTGATTTTGTATCAGGGTTTCAAATTCTGTCATCTTTCTCAAGGTCCCTCTTTCTTTCTTGAGATAACTTTTTATTCTTCCAGCAATTTGTTAATACTCCAGCCTGGGTAAATTCATACCTTCACTGAGCAGTTCTTGCTATATCTTTAGCCTTATTTTCTGAGTCTGGATGTACCATATTGACATATGTGATTAAATCTTTCTTCCTGTAGTTATCCCTGAAATAAAAGGTATTTGACTTTGAAGCGAATGGTGAAGTCACCAGACTTAATCTTGCTTTTAGAAGATTCCATATTTTTAACAAACTTTGTCTTATAATATGTCCTTTCAAATTCTTTTCTTCTTTTGTTTCTTTATACCATAAATCCATTGGCTAATTCGGCTCTTTCTATGATTGATATTCTGCTATTCTGGGATTTTACCCATTCCGTTATCCGTGATAAAACAGTTTATGGAATAATATAATTTAAGATTAGGAAATGCAAGTCTGCCTCTTTCTTCTGAGTCTTGCAAAATTTTGAATCTTACTCTTGGTTTTCTCCCACTCCATATAAATCTGTTAAATCTTTGCCAATCTTGCAAGCTTTTGACTTAGATTGGAATAAAAAGTTCATCTTAGGCAGTATATTCATTTTTACTGTCCTGGTAAGTCCTAGCCAAGAAAGTTTTAGGTTTTTCCACCTATCAAGCCCTTGTTTTATTTCTTTCTGTAATTTATTATAATTGTTCTGAAATACGTCTTTGTTGCACCCTGTCAAAGAGTCCCAAATATTTCACTGTTTTTTGTTTTGTTATCTTGCAATCAGACACTTTTGTCACAAAGTCATCTTCTTCTGGGGTTAAATATCTTGTTATGATCTTTGTTCTCTTTTCATTAATTGTCTATCCAGAGAATTCACCAAAGTCTTTAGAGATCTTATAGAGCTTATAGAGCTCTGCGGTTGAATAATAGTTAATACTACATTGTCTGCATAACATTTCATCTTGTATTCCTCTTCATGAATTTTGATCCCAAATATGTTTGTCTTTCCAAATCCTGTCTGACAAAACGTCTAAAGCAAATAATACTGGAGAAAGCAGGCACCGTTGTACCTTTATTTATTGGTAAATGTGTGGAGTGTTCCATTTTCTATAATCTGTTTGCCATCAGTATTTACTCTCCACCCAAGTTTTAAAATTCTTCTAGTGGATTCATTCTGTTTAAAAATGCTTATAAGAAAGGGCACTACAAATTTATCAAAAGCTTTTTCTGCATCTAGGATTATTATTACCACCTTCCCAATTTTAGTATTTTAAACTGATTCTTTGATCTCTTGAATTGTTATGATTTGCTTAATATTAATCTATGTTGTTCAGTACATTCTTTAAAGTTGAGTGTCCATTATATGTTCAAGCCATCTTTATCAATATTGTGCTTGGAATATAATAAGAATTCTGCAAGTTCTGTGATTTCTGATCTCTTGTATAACAATTTATTCCCATTCTTTCTGATATGTTGCAAGCCTTATAACAATTCCCTTCCTGTAAGCTTTACTTTTTTCCCATATGGTTGTCTCTAATATCCCTGGAGTTATATTTATTTTATTTTTTTAAAGTAATTCTTCTTTGCATTTGTGTAGTACGTCTCCTAGGAATAACAGCCTGTCATTCATCCTTCATTTAAAGGATTGTGATCCATGTATGTCATTGGGACAATCTCTATTCCCTTGAGGGACAGTGTAAGAGCTTTAGAGACTCAACATGTCAATCCTTGAATATGTTTGAAGTCTTGCTGAAAAAAACATATAGTCTCTTGCTTCTGGACTTTGTAGTTAATCTGTTTTTAACTTCTTTTGTGCGTTGGCTTGCACACTCTTTGCTATATTCATAATTGCAGTTTTTAGTTCCACCTTTATTTCCTCCATTTTATTTAGTATCCTGTCTTGTGACTGTTGGAAATTTTCATTTAAGATTGTTATTTGTGATGTTAATTTCTTGTACATGTCTGAGCATGTTAAGCATGTCTAAGTCCGATTCCTCTTCCTCCTCTCCTCTTCCTCTCTCTTGACATCAGGGCTTTCCCCCCTTTTTTATAAGTTATGAAAATGTTTTCATATATAATCTCCTCTTATTGTATTGCTGTAACCAAACAATCCAATCCAATCCAATCCAATCCAATCCAATCCAATCCAATCCAATCCAATCCAATCCAATCCTTCTAAATAATGGGTAGTCAATGGGATGGCCACCACTTCTAACAATTTCTCTCACACCTTTTTTTCCAGTTGCTTAACTCCCTTAAGCTCTCTTTTCTTTAGCCCTCTTAAAATCTTTCTCTAACCAATAACAAAGAAACCATTCAGGACACACTTCCTTTCTTCCCTTCAGGCACCCTCTCAGGTTCTACAAAATAATATAAATTGAGTTCACTGTTAAATTATATCCTTTGGTGGCATTTAGTGAGCTGTGTCATGTTTGACCTATAGCTTTTTGTTAACCATTAAATGCAGAGCTATAAGTAGCGGGGGGAAAAGACAACTACGTTTGTAGCCAGAAAGAAACAAGTTCTTTTGTTTATTGTTAGTAGCAACGCCTTTCTCAAAACTGTTAACACTAAAATGCTGAAATGCTACACAATTAGATTTATAATATATTAAAAACTACACTGCTGTTTTACTTGAACATTCCAAGGGCTGCATTCTAAAGGTAGAAGAGGCTGAGTCAAAAATGGGTGCAGTTGCTTCAGAGTTTCTTCATTATATCATTTCTGTGAGACTAGAGGAAACTTAAATTTGGGGAAACTTTGGAAAAAATGAGGGGAAGAAAAAATTCTGAAAAAAAATTAAAAAGGACCCACTGCACAGATATACTTGTTTAAAAAATACATCTTCACATTTCTAAGGGAACTTGTGTCCCTTGTTCTTTGATTTTTTAAATTTTTTTTTTGTGCTTTTGAGTCTATGTTGACTCCTGGTGACTTCCTGGACAAGCCCCTGCAGTTTTCTTGGCAAAATTTCAGAAGTGGTTTGCCACTGCCTGCTTCCTAGGGCTGAGAGAGAGTGACTGGCCCAAGATCACCCAGCTGGCTTTGCACCTGATGAGGGACTGGAACTCATGGTGTCCCGGTTTCTAGCCTGGCGCCTTAACCACTACACCAAAGTATGTCTCTTGTTCTTTGATTTAGGATCTGATCCCCATTGGGATCATGGAACCCAAAAATAAAAGCCCCATAAATTGGAGAATGAATCCAAATAGACTCCTATCTACAATTTGCTCTTTTTCTGAGTTGGATGAGGAAGCAGAGATGCACTTTTCCCACAGCAATAACTTATTAAAACTGGGGGAGGTCCAGGCAGCAATTTTTTTATGGACTAAAATTTGCCTGCAGCTCACTGATCCTTGCACCTAAGAAATAATATCTAGATTTTTATTTTTCAAATGTACTACCTCCTTCCTTTTAAAAGCCCAGCCCCAGATTCACCCACATTCCTAGGATTTGATATTCTATCCCCACATCCATTCGACTATTTGCAGAGAGGTCCTGCTGCCTTCCATGCACAATACTGCATTTTAATTCAGTTTTGTATCACTGCTGCAAAGCTTTTAATTTGTCATCCAGGCCTAGACATTACCTGCTTCTATACCAAATGGGATGTTTTTGGATGGGGAGTAACAGATGACTGCAGGGAGTGTTTGCCAGGTAACATGAGCAGGTATCAGGCTTAGCATGGTGGAAATCTGTATGCTTGCTGCTGCTCCTGGGACTCTAAGCAACTTTACTGCTTATGTGTAAATTGCTTTCAAAATTTCTTGTGAAAAAACAATGCTGAATATGAACAATTGTTCTAAATATTTTTATTAAAATGTATTATTTTATTCTACACACTGCAAAACATATTTACAAGGATGGAAAGGCATGGATGATTTATATTGCAGCCTTCTATTACAAGGAAGCCTTTTAGTCTTTATTGATATCAGAACCACAATTAAACTGTCATGCTCCTTACCCCTCCACCAAGAACTCTGCATCGTTTTAACCTTGGTTTATCATTTGTTAAACAAGTGATATACATACTACTGATTTCTGTTATCATAATCTAGACCTCCTGGATGTTGCCAAACTGTGTATGATGGATAGGATAATTCTAAAGCAGTTACAATTAATAAGAATACCTAATTAAAAAATGCAAAAGAAACAGTTAAAACCTTTCAGCTCTTACAGCCTCAGGATTCAGTTGTGAGGTTATAAGTTAAAAGAATACTTTTTGTTTTCATTAGTATATGTTTTGACAACTACCCAATTCTACACTGTTTCTGAAGTAAAATTACTGCTAGATCTTGAAAACAAACAAGAATGAAAGAATAATACCATAATTTTCTCCAATCCTGGCAGTAATAGAAAAACTATCTACCACCTAATCCCAAATTTCTAATCAAGCCATGGAGTTCATATCATTATCCATAAAGGAATACTGAATACAGACAAAAACTAATCTCAACTGCTTTCTGAGACAAGGAAGAAGGCCTTACCTGATATTCAGCATAATTTTTTAAACCAATACTCAGGAAAGGTTTGAAGGCATCCATGTACTTGAGAAACTCTCCTCCTAACACTGAGCAAAATGAAAGATTAAAAAACAGATATGAGATATCTAAAATTAAGAAGCTAATATCCATAGCCTAGATAGATATGTGGCTCTCAAAACTCTAGGGATGCAAATTCCCCCATCCATTTCTTCTCTGGTAACTCTAGGACCCCCACTGATTATGCCACAAATATTCAGTAAATAGGGGTTAATGTAGTTACTTCCACTCTACAACAGGAAAAAAAGATGAAAAAATGTAAATTTATTAACATCTCTAATTTCTCTGCAACTCTATCAATAATTACTGCCCTCAACCACCAACATGTTGAGAATTCCAGGACAGATGCCTACCAATGGAAAACCAAATTCCTGAATCAAGACTAAAAAGTGACTTCCCAAGGTCTCTTTTTTCAGAAATCAGCTATACTTTCTTATTCTAAATATTGTAAGGAAATTGGGAGCAGGCTAATGTTTTTCTCCTTCTATATGCCAACAATTCTTCTTTCCCATATTGGACCAGTTTATTGACCAAATGGAATCAGATGACAACATTAAAAAGCTCAGATCCAAAGCAGATATCTTTTCATACCCAGTTTCATCTACATCCATTTATTTGAAAACAAGTTTTATTATGTTTAATGGCATCTTTCACAAGAGAACAAGAACTGCTGCAGCTAAGCACTATCTTGGTGAAAAAAAAAATTATAAGTAAATACACACATGAATTCTCAGCCAGAAATTTAGAAGTCTTTTCTCTCTTAGTAAAGCTTTAGTTCAAATCTGTCATATCACTTCCTGTGTCCCTGTACTGAACTATTCTCAGAAATAGAATTCACAAATAAAATGTGTGTTTTTATGTCTTCTGTTACTGTACTGTACTGTTAGATAATAAAAGAACATAAGATACATAAACTCTTTTATATCTTTTACTGTGCACAATAATCACAGCAAAACAATTGATTGGTAAAGCTTTCTGATAGCTATTACATATAAAACACTTTACATGGTATTATGAACACTTGTATCATCTGTTCATAATCAAGTCAGAACTCCTTTGAGCCTGTTCCATAACACCACATCAGTATCTTTTTCATTATCTGTATTGGATTCTAACCAGTTAAAATGCCCTTATAGTTTTCTGATATCATCTGGGGTCCCTGACCTAGCCTTATTCCACAAGTCTCTTCTACTTTTACATTCTTATGTCTGAAACCAATACAGAAGTCTCAAATGTAAAACTGTAACAACCAGAATTTGGACAGCCCAAAGGCTTAGAAATATATTTATAGAGCCATCAATCTTAAGAAATCCCTCCCTGTAGCAGAGCAAAGCATTTACCTTCTACCAGAGTGCTAACAGCCATGAGGGCATCCTCTTGGACACCTCCTGATCCTGCCGTACTTTGGAACATCCTCAAAAGAGATGCCATCACCACATCTGAAATCTGTAAAGCATCCTGGTGCTGGACTTTACGAAGGACATTCTGTTTGGTAAAATGTAAGATGAAAATTTAGTTGGAAGCCTTCTTGTAATGCTACTCCCCCCCCTTCACTTCTAGTCAGCGTACATTTTCCTCTTATCTTGTGAATAGTCATGAATTATGCAACTGAAAAACATCTACAAGCAAATCTTAATGACAACTATCTATCACCTATTCCCCCGTAGATGCTCCTCTCTGGGAAAGTCATTTTAGCCTAGAAACAAGTCCTAATTTCTTTAGTATCTGGCAAAATACAATGGAAGAATGATAGTTATTTGCTAGCTTTAACTGAGCATCAGCCAGGATGGGCTGAATTTATCTGTGCAACAGCTCATAACTCTCTTTGCTAAAGCAGTGGGAGATGGAACCTCTTTCTTTGACGTACCAGTTCTGGGATGAGCTGATAAGAGGCATATATCCAAGGTACTCTTTGTTGTCTTAAATAATGCACCATTTGTACTGCTTGATTTTTCTATGCACTGTCTTTCACAAATTGGGAAGACAAATTCAAGTTTGAACCAAGGGGGCATTTGATATGTAAAAAATCCAATACAAATCTGTTTTCTTCTGAATATTACTGCTATTTCTTATACTATGTGCTTTTGGAACATCTTTACAATCAAGTAATAAATGTTAAGTTTTTACCTGTAATGTAGCACATAACAAAGACTGAAGATCATTGAACTGGATTCTGTCAGATGTGCTCTGGATATGAGACTGGAGAGAAAATATTCTTTAGCATTTGAAATGATCTTCAAAGCTTTTTATATCTGTTGAAGCTCTGATATGTATCTAAAATTAAGTTGATTAGGAATAATAAGATCTACAGCCAGAACAAATTCTGGTCTTAAGTGTGCATTTGAATGAGGATATCCATGGCCATCTTTCTGACAGACTTTGAGGTTTAAGAACTTGTGCTATGTTTAATTAGAACATAACAGTGATGACCAGACCACAGGCATGTGCAGGCACTGGAAAATCCCAATACAGGCAATAGTTTCCTACAGCAATAAATATTTTAATTTCAATCTTAGCAAAAAAAAAAAAAAAATTTACATTAATTTTACATAATCACAAAAAGCATGCAAAACACTCACAAAACAAAACATAAAATACATAACTCCCTAAGTTATGCTTTCCTGTTCTAGAGATCACCCAATTTTGGGGGAACTATCATCAACATGCACATCTTTCAGCCATCCAAGCTAACCTCCATTTGGAGCACTTGTTGCAGCCGTTCCATGATAACTAAAGTTGTCTTCTGGACCGCAGGATAACAGTCCTTGGCGCTATTTTTCACAATTTCCATCAGAGCTTCATATGCAGCACTCCTCAAGTTGTTCTGATGTCCATCAGGCCTGAAACAAAATATAAAAAGGAGCTGCAAGAGTGCATTAGAACACAGATACAATTAAATGCCAACCAATTAAATGCCAACCAACCATTCGGAAGACTATCCACTAAAGTGGTACCATCAACAGAAGGCAGGGTAAAATGTTCTGTTTGTTTTGTGGGGGGGTTAAGAATGGAGGGCAGGAAGAAAAAAGAGTTAGATTTTTGTTACCTACAAAGTGAGTAAGGGCTAGATCTCATCGTTCTCAGCTTACCAGTAGCAGCCAAACACCAATCCCAATATCTGACTATGCTGTTGGGCATAGTCATTAACTCACTTGGGTTAGATGGTATGTTGGTTCTGAGGTCACATGATACCACATTATAGGTAATTCAAGATGGCCAACCACAGAAAGATAAGGAAAGACCTGCTCTCTGTGACATACTATATTTTATATTTATACTACTTTTAAATTCTTTGGTATGAGAAAGTTAATTAATGGATCATAATGTAATATTGTCCCTGTATATTTTTCTTTCTTCTTCAGGAAGATTACCAGACATAAACATGTACACTGCACATGTACATTAGGAATAAACTTCAAAATGTATGTTTGTGATTATGTTGTTCATGATTATTTTGTGTTGCTCGTGAAGTGTACAGAACTCAATCTTTTGCCGGCTCAGTTCTGTGATGGCTTGTGCAGGCAAAATACAACAAGTAGTCTTAACTGTGGTTCTGCTGTTTACTATTGAAATTTTTAACATGTTTAAAAAGATACCCCCTAGGCCAATTTTTCTATAGATTGAGCACAAGTAGCACTTGGTGTGGATTGCTGCCCCACTAATTTTGGGGCCCCGGGATGAAAACTGAGGATGATAGTTGCTTATTTATTGTTCTGCTCAAGTGATGGAATACTCAAAATATTTTGGTTAGGTTCCATTAGAGCACAAGTCACACAAAATGTTCTAACAGAATGTACTGAGTGGGCTATTTAGCTCCAAGCTCAGAACAAAATGTTTTTTGTTTGTTTAGTATCACTCCTACAGAAATTAACATGCTATTAGAGAAAAGTCATCCTTCCGAATCTGGAAGCTCATCCAAACATTGCACTTACCACCTTTTTGTTGGTATTTGTTTGGACATTGTGGAACAAAGGATATTGGTCTAGATTTTAAATCTGATCGGGGGGGGTCTCCTTATTCAAGGAAACTTTGGAAAGAACTAAATTTCATGTCCAATTTTTTTGGCTGAAACAACAAGTTCATGCCTGTTGTTTCATAGTATGTATTATATCCTACAGAACCCCAATGTATCCAAATGAATTGCTATATGGAAGCCTAACCACATATCCAACATGGTAGTCCAACACATTTATAAGACACTAGGTGGGTAAGACTGAATTAGAATGTGAAGGATCTTCTACAGCAAATCAAATAACAGTATGGGTAGTCCTTGGGTAACGACGGCAATTGGGACCGGAATTGCTGTGACTAAGCAACACGACTGTAAAGTGCAACGTGTCGCTTAGTGATGGCAGTTCCAGCAGTCCTGACTGCCATTGTTAAGCAAGGACCTCATGTGACTGCAACTTCCAACTTACTGCCAGCTTCCCCACTGACTTTGCTTTTGGGAAGCCAGCAGGGAACATCAGAAATTGTGATCACCTGACTGCAAGGATGCTGCTTTGGCTGGAACTCTGAAGACCAGTTGTAAGTCCCCCTCATCTAACACTGTCGCAAGTTTGAGTGGTCATAACCCAAGGACCACCTGTATAGATAGTCCTCACTTAATAACCCTAATTGGGACCAGAAACTCTGCCGTTAAGCGAAGCGGTCGCTAAGTGGGAAATCACATGACCGAGACTGTACTTTCTGATTGGAAAGAGACGAGACTACTCAGTTTCACACCTCCAGCTTTTTTGGCTTCCCAATCACTCCCCTGCCCTTTGAAATGCTCAAGTACCTGCTTACTGTCTTGTACACATTGAAAGCAATGCAATCACATTGGCAGCCTGGGGCTGAGAGCTGCAGGCGCACTATGCGAACAGCTTACTCTCTTGAAATCCCTTTCCAATCTCTCCATTCTGCAAGGCAGGGGAAAGCAAGCAATTTCTGTAGGTAATGTCTCCTTGCCTGGCCCTTTCCCCTTGCAGACTGGAGAGAAAGATTCCAAGAAAGTAATCTGTTTGCTCTTCTACACATTGAAAGCAATGCAATCACACTGGCAGCAGGAAAGGGTCAGGCAAAGGAGAGATTGCCTACAGAAATTGCTTGCTTTTTTCCTCCCCCCCACAACAGTAGATTGGAGTGGAAGAGATTTCAAGAGAACACTGTAAACTGTTTGTGTAGCATGCCCACAGCTCCCAGTTCTGGGCTGTCAGTGCAATCACATTGCTTTCAATGTGTAGAAGAGCAAACAGATTACTCTCTTGTAATCCCTTTCTCTCCAATCTCTCTGCTCCATAAGTGGGGGGGAGAGAAAAACACTGGTCAGGCACAGGACAATGCACACTGACTATAATGGCAATCACATGACTTGAGGGATGCTGTGAAGATCATAAATAGGCTATAAAGTTATTTTTTCAGCACCATCATAACTCTGAAAAGTCAGTGAATGAATGTTTGCTAAGTGAGGACTGCCTGTACAGTGATTGCACTTTAAGTAAAACAACTGAAAGCTAGCAATGAACTATAGTAATAATAAAATCCCATTAAATTATGCAATAAAAATGTTTATCCATAAACACTGCGGAATTGCTTGAAAAATCTCTAACAGTGATGAAATAACGGTATGCTCAAAGGGCTCTCAGCTTATAGAAAGTGGATAAACATATCGCAGAATCTAAATTACCTTGATACAGTTTGGAGGGAAAGATATTACTGAAACATAGTTCTTGTTGTAGAATCTGTAAGTATTAAGTAGCAAGAAAACAAAGTTCTCCTGACCAGAGCATGAACGTAGTAAGTGAGGAAATTCGTTAGGCAGGTGAATAGTTTAATAGGATCAGATAAGTTACACATGATATATATTCAATAATGATTCAAATGATTCTGCATTGATGGAGAAGTATATTTCTCTGTCAACGTAATCTCCTGATGGATATGGTACAATTTCTTAAAACTGATTGTCTTGGTATTTTGTAAATCAGAACTGTAATCTAACTTAACACAGGTCATACCTCAGATTCAATAGCATAAACATCTTATTTCCCATGAGGCTAAAGCTCATAAGCAGGAACTTTTAACTGCCTCAATGCATATTATTATTAATTGAAACAGTTTACTGTAGTTGCTTTGCTGAACACCCAAGCATATGGAGAGACGTTGTGAGAATACAGCACTGAAGAACAATACTTTCCTATGTAAGTATATACATCTGAATGTATGATTCTACAGAAAATTCAGAACTTTTCATTTTAAATTAAAAAAAGGGCATCTAAGAAATTATCAAGAGGCTTTTAATAAGAGGTGGGGAAACCAATGAAGATTTAATACCAGCTGTCTGGGGAAAGCATTACAAATCTGCTTCCAATGGAATTAGGCAATCAGTTGCAGACTGATGGAAAGCCACATTTAAGATGGTCTCTAAACAAAGTAGTAAAACTAAAAAAAATGCTTTTTTGCCAGAAGGTACTTTAAGGATATATTATTAAATTGACAAAGTATATAGCAAGAGCAGATTTAATTAACTTTCCCAGATAATTGTCTTAACATTTCTCCCAGACTTAGGCTTTGCCTTTCCTTTTGATTTTTGGAAAGAAAATCATGAAGTCTAGCCAAAATAAAAACACTGCTATTTATTTTATTCTAAACTGCTCTCCCCAGTTTTAACCTGTAATAGTCCTTGCTGTACATAATAAAAAATAGGACAAATTCTTTTATAGGATCATCTTCAGATATAGCAGTATTTCATACTGTCATATAAAGAAAGAAGATGCAAAGCTTGTTTAAAATATGTTGAATTATATTAATACTATTATATTAATACTACGTGGCTCCATGCTCCATTCTGCTGCAAAATTTACTCAAAAGTCAGCTAGCTTTTCTCCATGTTTGGTAAAAAATTCAGTATTTGAAATCAGAGATTAAAAGTTTCAAAGTGCTTATATTTTATTGCTCCATATGCCTGATCCTGAAAAAAACCAAAATTCTATCTAAGTCCCATATTCTATAGAAAGAGGATCATAATCCTGCAAGTTAAGTAATTATGCATGTTAAATAAACTTGCATGATTTTTTCATATTTTCTCTTATATAATTTATGCTGCTTCTGTTGTTAATAGCTAAGGATTTCCAAGTGAATACCAGAACAAAACACTGTTTCTCCCATTCTATTATTTTAGTAGACATTATTCATACACATTTAACAATATTTTTGCAACAAACTGGCTTGTGCCAAAATTAAGGAAGCCGCATGTCTGTAGCTTTTCTGTATTCCTATGGAATTACAGTACGTGTAAGTGTCCCCAATCACTACAGAACTTACCTAGTGAACCTTACTCCAGAAATTCTGGAGATTTTATAAAATGAAACTCTTAAGGATATCCTGAAGGTCACTGGTGAGCAGCACATGGTCAAATGGATAAAGAATGACTAAGTTACCTGTCTGTGGTCTCTAAAAGTTTCTGAACAATTAATTCAAAGGATGAAGATAAGCAGTATGTTGCAGGCTCTTCTTGATCATCAGCCACATCAGCAGCTTCATACGCAGCTTCTGCCAAACTAGAGAAAGCCTGAAAGATATTAGGTGTCAATAAGTTAGAAGCTGACAATTTCAGGAAAGCTTGCTATTTTGTTAAGTCTTATTTATTTATTTATTTATTAAATTTATATGCTGCCCATCTCCCCCAGAGGGCCACTCTGGGCGGCTCACAATAAATTCCAAAGCAGTAAAAACAATAACAATATAAATATCCATATTAAAATTAGCTAATAACAAGTCTATATAAAAAGACTATGTACAATTCAAGATGATGGGGGGAGCAGTATCGATCATCCCACCAGCCAATTCCAACAATGCAAGCCCCAACCAGGCCCCCAAGTCATTTCACGTAGCCATGTTTTCACACTTTTCTGGAAGGCCAGGAGAATGGGGGCGGACCACACCTCAGGTGGTAAGCTGTTCCACGGGCAGGGGTCATGGCAGAAAAGACCCTCTTCCTAGACCCCATCAGGTGAAGTACCTTCACTGGTGGGATCCGCAACACACCCCTTCTGCCGGACCGAGTGGGGTGGGCTGATGTAATGGGGGTGAGACTATCCTCATATAACCTGGTCCTATGCCACGAAGGGCTTTAAAGATAATAACCAATACCTTGAATTGGACTCGGAAGCAAACTGGCAACCAATGCAGCTTTGCAGAGGTGTTATATGTGCCACTCTAGGGACATTCAAAACAGTCCACGCCGCTGCATTTTGCACCAGCTGCAGCTTTCAAATACTCTTCAAGGGTAGCCCCATGTAAAGCGCATTGCAGTAATCCAAATGGGAGGTGACCAGGGCATGAGTGACTGCGCGGAGGGCCTCCTCATCCAGGAAGGGGCGTAACTGACGCACAACATGAAGTTGCACAAAGGCCCTCCCAGCCACACTGCCACCTGCTCTTCAAACAGGAGTCGTGAGTCTAGGAGGACCCCCAGATTACACACCAGGTCTGTCTGGGGTAGCACAACCCCATCCAGAACCAAGGATGTTAAGCTCCTAGATCTTGAGGCTCCCCGTACCCACAGCCACTCCGTCTTACCAGGATTCAGTTGAAGCCTGTTGTTCCCCATCCAGGCACTGCGAAAGGGTAGCCACAGCATCACTTAGGTTACCTGGGATGGAGATATATAGCTGAGTATCATCAGCATACTGATGATACCTCAGTCCATGGTGGTGGATGATCTCATCCAACCGTTTCATGTAGATGTTAAATAGGAGCAGCGAGAGCACCGAATCGTGAGGCACCCCACAAGTAGGGGCCATGGGTTGGACCTCTCGCTCCCTATCAACACTGATTGGGATCAGCCTTGGAGGAAGGAGCTGAACCAGCACAACACTGTGCCTCCCAGCCCCAACTCCCACAGCCCACCCAAAAAGATACCATGGTCAATGGTATCAAAAGCCGCTGAGAGGTCAAGAAGAGCAAGGATGGATGCCATTCCGCTCTCACCAGAGATCATCTAAAAGTGTGACCAATGCTGTTTCTGTCCCATAACTGGGCCTGAAACCTGACTGAAAGGGGTCCAGATAACCTGTTTCCTCCAGGATTCTCTGAAGCTGTTGCACGACCACCTTTCCTACTTTTTTCCTAAAAGTTACTGTTTTCAGCCTAAGCAATTAATTTCCTAATGTTGATTCCAACCTTTGCATCCTTCTTTAACATCTTCCAATTCCATTATTTGATAAATTAATAAGAAATCAGACAACAAATCTATCACCAAACTTTTTCTGTCTTAGCACCAATGTTTTACCAGTAACGTTATACATTTGGAGCAACTGCAGATTCAAAACCACAAGCCTTCTTTTTCTAATTTATCCAGCGCTCAAGTGTCTACTCAGAATAAGGATTCTGACTTACCCAGCATACATTGGAGGCCACTCTTGGCTCTGCACTCAAGCCCTCAATTAGACACTGCAGCAGTGGAGCAAGGTAAATATCATTTATGGCTGCTTCAGGTAGCAGTTCGCAAATCCGACCCACGGTCCATGCAGTTGTATCTCTGACTACTACGCTGGGGTCCTTCATTAATTCTATAAGAGTAGGCATAGCCTAGGAGAAAAATGGCCTGTTAAGTCAATCTGTGCTTGACATCTAATGTCTTAAGAAAGTGTTGAAGGCAGCTTTCAAAACCTTTATGTTTCCAGTTGGCTCCTTCAACCAAAAGGGCTCAGTTAGATCCCAAGCCAGGAAAGTTGTAAGGTATGTTCTGTCAGGCTCAGCCCAAAGAACTCCACAAGACATGCAAATACAGTTCTGTTGCGTTTATTAGCTTCCAGCTCATGAGACAATCTCACCAGACTTAACCCAAGTTCCCAAGCCAGCCAGCCACAACACTATGAATTCCTTAGGGAGGTGCCAGCCTCATCTTCTTGAACTTCCCACGCTCCTGTTGGGGGCT